ATATTCACAAAGAGGTGTACCCCCATTTCGCGGTGTAAATACGTCTAGAGTTTACTTTTGTTCAGGATTATGTCCAGGACTGAAATATACCTGCTGGTTGGGCAGTAAATTATGGTTTTTGACCCTCCTGCTGTTGATTGACCCCTATTAATTCCATTCCTTGTGCATATAATCACAATTCCTTCCCAGTACTGAGAATTACGACACTTTCCATCCTGGTGCCATTTACGACAAATTAAGTGCATGAGATCAGTGCCTTTATGGAGGTATGTTGGGGTGTTTACAAATCACGTCACGTCTCTCTGTTGAGGTAAAACCCAGCAGAAATATGTCGCTCTAGTCTTGAGGGGAATAATGAAGCAAGTGTGCGTGTGTGTGTGTGTGTGTGTGTGTGTGTGTGTGTGTGTGTGTGTGTGTGTGTGTGTGTGTGTGTGTGTGTGTGTGTGTGTGTGTGTCAATCAACTGGTGTACAGGTTCCTGAGCCTACTGGGCTCTATCATATCTACATTTGAAACTGTGTATGGAGTCAGCCTCCACCACATCACTGCCTAATGCATTCCATCTGTTAACTACTCTGACACTGAAAAAAATAATAATGTCTCTATGGCTCATTTGGGCACTCAATATCCACCTGTGTCACATAGTGTGTGTACCACTTGTGTTAAATAGTCTGTCTTTATCTACCCCTATCCTTTGAGAATCTTGTATACGGTGATCATGTCGCTCCTAACTCTTGAAAGTACAACTGGCTTTGTACCTCATGAACACTGAGGGAGGGCATGTCAGCGTGCGTGTGTGTAAGTGCGTGCATACGTGAGTGCGTGCGTGCGTGAGTGTGTGCGTACGTGAGTGCGTGCGTGCGTGAGTGCGTGCAGAACGCAGGCTTCATATACCAGCCAGTAAGAATTTTGACTTTTATCTCGTGAGCTTCGAATTCACATTTTCAATTCGAATTTTTATCACAAGTTTCGTTTTCAATTTTTATTCCATCAGTCTTTGTTTCTTTTTCTTTTCAAGTTCTCTTTTTCTATTTCTCATTTTTTTCATATATAACTGACATCAGATCTCAATAGAAATATCGCTGGCTGTTCCAAATGAGTCCTACAAGTTATTGAGAGTCATTGTCCTCAATCACCTCACTTGAAACCTGACACCAGCCATTAATTTAATAAATAATTTCAATTTTACTATTATTTTTATCAGTTATGAGCTTCAATTTAATAAGTTACAATTATATGAGTTTTTTTCTACTCTAACAGGTAAAACAGGTAGGCCTTCGTTGGTAATTACCTGGAGCCAGATTCACGAAAGCACTTACGAACCTGTACATCTTTTCTCAATCTTTGGCGGCTTTGTTTACAATTGTTAAACAGTTGATGAGCGCCGAAGCACCAGGAGGATGTTTGTAACAATAACAACAGTTGATTGGCAAGTTTTCATGCTTGTAAACTGTTTAATAAATGTAACCAAAGCCGTCAAAGATTGAGGAAAGATGTACACGTTCGTAAGTGCTTGCGTAAGTGCTTTCGTGAATCTGGCCCCTGGTCTGTGAGGCTATAGTTGTTTGACATGGTTTAATGACTATCTACGCAAAATAACATAATTTAAGTGGAGAATTCCACAGCAAGCATAAAATTTTTTGTTTTCATTTTTGTGGTGGTTAAGCATATTGTTGTTGTTTTAGATTCAGCTGCTCAGAACAAGAAGTTCCAGTAGCACGGGCTATGGTGAGCCCGTAAATTACGGTTAAGCATCTTGTGCTGTAATTATATACCGTGTTTTGGTTGTGCATGAAGTTGGGTCAGGTGGAGAATCTTAAAAAAATTGACCTTTTGCACTACAATGTTCCACCACATCTCTCTCTCTGATTGATGAAGATTAAGCCCATCCAAGAGGTGGTACTTCAACTCTCTGGAGTTGAAGGCTTTAATATACTGACTACTTGAACCACAATGGGTCAAGAATTCAGATGTCTTCTCACTGGGATTCTCCACAGTGACAAGAAGTAGGAAATATGATGAAGGGAGAGGCCAGCCATCCACGTGAGTGGTACATACTCAAGATGCAAACAAACTTGTACTTCATATACGGTGTTTTACCAGGTCTGCTGTCGTGTAGGCGGTTCGAGACGTGCTTTGGTGCTGAAAGTTCCTCAGCTGCCTTGCTTGCTAGGTTCAGCACGCGGGTCTCCATGCCCATTAAAGTTCAAATTCACCATGGAGGTATTAATTTCAGCGCCGAGCATCAAGTTTTTGCCTCAGATCGAGCAGCAAATTTTTGTTTAGTTATCATCGTCTGTCTGTCTGTCTGTCTGTCTGTCTGTCTGTCTGTCTGTCTGTCTGTATGTCTGTCTGTCTGTCTGTCTGTCTGTCTGTCTGTCTGTCTGTCTGTCTGTCTGTCTGTCTGTCTCTCTCTCTCTCTCTCTCTCTCTCTCTCTCTCTCTCTCTCTCTCTCTCTCTCTCTCTCTCTCTCTCTCTCTCTCTCTCTCTCTCTCTCTCTCTCTCTCACACTCACTCTCTCTCTCACACTCACTCTCTCTCTCTCTCTCTCTCTCTCTCTCTCTCTCTCTCTCTCTCTCTCTCTCTCTCTCTCTCTCTCTCTCTCTCTCTCTCTCTCTCTCTCTCTCTCTCTCTCTCTCTCTCTCTCTCTCTCTCTCTCTCTCTCTCTCTCTCTCTCTCTCTCTCTCTCTCTCTCTATCTCTCTCTCTCTCTCTCTCTCTCACACTCACTCTCTCTCTCTCTCTCTCTCTCTCTCTCTCTCTCTCTCTCTCTCTCTCTCTCTCTCTCTCTCTCTCTCTCTCTCTCTCTCTCTATCTCTCTCTCTCACTCACTCACTCACTCTCTCTCTCTCTCTCTCTCTCTCTCTCTCTCTCTCTCTCTCTCTCTCTCTCTCTCTCTCTCTCTCTCTCTCTCTCACTCACTCACTCACTCACTCTCTCTCTCTCTCTCTCTCTCTCTCTCTCTCTCTCTCTCTCTCTCTCTCTCTCTCTCTCTCTCTCTCTCTCTCTCTCTCTCTCTTCACTCACTTCAAAATCAGAACAATTGATAGATCTGTATAAGTGCGACATTTGATCTTGCCTGGACACAAAGGCTCTGAACAACAGCAGTGTATATACGAACTGGGCGATGTTCACGCACCACTACACGCTGCTGTTTATTCGTCATACAGGAATGTTTGGATCAAAGGCTTTTCCAATAGTGTACATGACGTGTCTACATACATACAAGCACGTACTAAATGCATTTGCAAGGCCTTGTACCGGCGCGCTGTTGCATGCGTTCAATGCAGGTGTCAGTTCAGCCGAACACTCTACGGCATTTTCCCGATTCTAAAATATCGAAAACTTTTGCTAAAGCTTTGTAAAAAAAATATAACTCGTATTTTGTATGTATTGGGAAGGGGGAGATGGGGTGGGGGAAGAGGGATGTGGGATGAGGGGGGGGGGATATATATAGAAATATGCTGTTTTCGAGAGCAGTCCCGCTCCTGTACCAGGTAAGTTACGGGCTCACCATAGCCCGTGCTACTTGGAACTTATTCCGAGTAACTGAATCTATAACAACAACAACGTACTTTCGAGAAGGCAATATTCGTCAAACTTTAATATGGATCTTCACTGCCATTAACTAGCCATACACTAATAGGCCCTAAAGCGATGAAGATAGAGTCGAATGCTATGTTGAGTTTTTAATATAAATTATTCTTTTCAGTTCCAAATTACATAGTCTTGACTGGCTGTAAAAATGAATACAGTACGCGATTAGGGATATAACGAGAACGCACAAGAAATAGGTTGATACATGTATTTAACATGTGTAGCAGCATTGTAAACAATACATAGTTGGAGTAGCAAGGGAGTATACACGCGCCAGCTGCAGAATATAACCATTGTCTCCATAATTGTATCCAGCTATACTGCAAATGAATGTCGAGAGTAAACTGCGTGTGGTGGTGGAATAAACTCATTGTGTAAACCCAGGTGTGCCCATGAGCTTGCAGATGTGCAAGGCCCAACTGATCGGAGGGTAATTTTCTGCTGGGCTATTTCCGCGTTTTTTTTTTTTTTTTTGAAATAGTGGTGATGCTTGCATATTTCCAGCTAGTGGAAACTGTCCCTTGGTCCAGAGATTTTCTGAAAGGGAGTTTCAGTGGTTCATCTTCCAGTTTCTTAACAACTTTATATTGAATTCCAGCCACACTTGGGGCTTTTAGATCTTTCAGTTTGTCAATGATTTTCCTGATTATATCACATGTTATGGGTATATACCTTAATTCATTTTCTTCGCCTGCTGTAAAGATTTGTGTGAGTACTGGGTTGTTTACTAAACTTTCTAGTTTGAACACTGATGAAAAGTATTCATTTAGAACTATCAGGAGAAAGTGCCAAGCGATAGCGTCTATATATCACTGGGAAGGGATCAGGATAAGGATTTGGGATGGGACGGGGGGAAAGGAATGGTGCCCGACCACTTGGACGGTCGGGGATTGAACGTCGACCTGCATGACGCGAGATCATCGCTCTACTGTCCAGCCCAAGTGGTTGGGTATTAATTTAGAGCGTTCGTAGAATTTGTTATGGTTTTGATAGTTGATTTTTTGCTGGGTGATAATGGGCTTGAGGTAGTTTGCAGTGGTTGAACCCCATGCACAGATAACGTAAGTTAGATGAGGGGTAGATTTGTGAGTAATATTTATTTTAATTTTTATTTATTATATATACAGTAGTTTTTTTACATTCTTGTCATTGTTCATTGTTGAATAATAACAAAGCCAATTAATTTTTTGTATCAATAATTAATAAATTATTTTGTGCGTTCATTATCTCCCACGATGATAGTATTACACATATAAGTTTCAGTAATATCCAATTCATGTAGCTATCTAGCTTTTTTAAATTACCGTAAAAATATATTTCTTTATCGCAATGCAGATTACAAACATGAAATAATTTATTAATGGAGATTGTGAGTACCAAATGTAATCAGTTTGTTTGTCAACAGGAAGGACGTGGTCATGGGTAGAGGAGTCAAGAATGCCGTCGTCAGCCCAAAATCAACGATATGAGACACAAGCTCAACCAGGAAATGTAGATGTTTATCTCTCAGAATGTTTGGTAATATGTTTATTGTTTGTGATATGTTTATATGTATGTATTAACACGATGTACTGAACGGGGTGAGAATAGCTTGAGCTACCTCATCCCTTTCTGTGTATTTTACCTCAATAAACTTATTGAGGTAAAATTATCCTCTCCTCGCCTTCAGGGAGAGGATAATAGCCTTTGACCACACTGCATGTATCATAAAAAAGAGGATAACTTGCTTTCGAGGGCACAGCGCTTATCACAAGAGGCATTAGAGCCAAGCTCACAGAGACGGAGCATAGTGGAGGAGGAGGAACCTTTCCGACATGTCGCGACACTTCGTCGTCATTGCCCCTGGCAGGAGGGTCGGAGTCGTGGCCTCGACCTACAAAGACTTCTTAAGAAAGTGCCGAAGTATTCTAAAAGTTAAGGTGAGCAACTCTTATTTCTCAATATGAGCAGTGTGGTAGCTTTAAATACTTGAATGATTCTTGTCTAGCATATACAGGGGGTCCGTCTAATTACCACAAGCTACACAAGCTTCACAAAGCTTCCTGGCAATACGTTAGTAATGAATAAATATGATATGTTAGGTTAGGCTGACCTAACCTGACCTGACCTGACCTAACCTAACCTAACCTAACCTAACCTAACCTAACCTAACCTAACCTAACCAACGCTTGGATCGTCGACTTGATTTTGCGTCACCAGCTCTTTATTTTCGTCTAATTTCTTTATAAAAAGATACTTTTTCAGATTAAAATTATATTTTTTTATGTTGTACATTCAGCACTAACATTATAATGAGTAAATATATCATGTTTATTCATTACTAATGTATTACCAGGAAGCTTTGTGAAGCTTGTGTAGCTTGTGGTAGCTTGTGGTAATTAGACGGACCACTATTGGGGGGTGTTGTGCTATGGTGGTATGTCCACTCGCAGGATGAGTGGCGCTGCCCAATAAACTCGCCCTTCCGGGCAAAATGTAAATGGAATGCATATGGTTTCACATTGTTGAGAACAGGGGCCCAGGATGCCACTCACACCAGTCCCCATACTCCCCTGGTATCTGATTACATAGAATTAACAGGCTTCCTGTCTCCAGCTGTGCAGCCAATCTTTGTGTATCTCAGTATTCTAGACTTGATTAAGTGTTGTACTGTATATCTGTCTGAAAAGTGGATCAAGCCTTAGGTAACACTAATATGTCTGTTTTACTGTGGAAAGTGTGGAACAGGCAAACTCGTGCAGTTACCTTGCGATGATTTCGGGACTCAGCGTCCCTGGTCCTCGACCAGACCTCCTGCAGGTTATTGGCACACAGTTTTTGCTTTACCCAGATTTTATAACCTCTCTTTCCCAGTGCAAATCAAAGATTATCTGTCAGTCCTGCCAAACTCATTTCAAATTTAAGTAAAGCCTGGATTTAAAAACATTTTGCCTATATTCGCACTTCATCGCTAAATTCTTCGGTAATTTCTAAAAGCAGACGATAGACCACATCTTTCTTCAAAGTTTCAAATAATATACAAAATTAATTTGTAATTTAATAATAATAATAATGATTATATTATTAATAATAATAAAAGTGCACTGCATGATAACTATATTTAGTTTACTAAGGCTTTTGAAGATTATATTTATCTTGGCTAATTGCGTTAAAGCACCTGTAAACTGCTTCATCATATTCATAGAAAGCCGACCCACTAAAATTTATTTTTCTGGTCATGTCAGGGAACAGTGTCAGCCCCAATGCCCAACTTGTCTGCCAGCCATGATCATTTTTCCAAATAAATTTAGCATTTTTGTCTTTAATGTTAAGATACCTTTTCATCCAGCTGCTTATCTTAACCTGAACACTCTTTCTGGTAGATATTTTTGCTTTTCAAATAGTGGGGCATTGAGAGAAAATTTAATGATATTCCATTATTAACAAGAGAACACCAGGCTAACACATAGGAAGAGATCCCATAGTTGGGACATATTCAATGTATGTAATATTAGGGCTACCAACATTAAAAACTCATTACAGTATACTTAAGGAATTTTAACATTTATAATACAGCAGAAGAATAATACAATATTTCAAGCAAAATTTGTATTATGTTTATATTTACTATAATTTTTATGAACAGGAAAAGTGCTAAAAAAATATGATCAGTTGGAAATTACAATTTGGGTCCTCTGTTCTGTGTTCATGTGAACTATTCTAATAGTAAAATTGTTTTGCTCTTTTAAGATGTTTTGAGGTCTGAGTTTTTTTAAGTTGCACTGTATTTAGTATATTATGTTTTGAACAAGAATATGAATCCTAGGAACCCATTAAAACTTCAAGTTTTACTGTTTATCCCTTTTATAAAAGCATTAGTAAGGAAGCTGCATATTCATGGTAAAAAAAATTATTTAGTATATTCAGGTCAATGTGTGTGTGTCAGCCAAGGTATGGTAATTACTCTATATATCAGAGCTCAATCATTTATGTTTGTCAATAGAAAACACCCTCGCCTCTTGCAGGGTTGGTGTTAATTCTGCGATAGTGCTAGTGGTTGGGCTTCCAATTGCTATATAGTCATTCTGGCTTAGCCCTTTCTTTTTATTATAGTTATATAAGTAAAATATAGTTACTTCACCTTAAATATATATGAGAAAACAAGTGTATATATATTTAGCCTATTTTTCAGAAGGAGAAAGAACTCACTGTCACTTTAGTCGATGGTACAGAAGTTGACAAGGAGTATTTTGAAGTTCTCGTGAGTAATACAGAGCTGCAAGTGTCACCATCAGAAGAATATAGAGCACCAGATTTCATCCATCAGTTAGCAGTTTTCCTAAATGCATGTCTTCAGTGCCAGCCAAAAATTCATGATAGAGTTCTTGAATATTTGCAAGAGGCCAAAAGTTCTGCCAAGGCAAAAGAACTCTTAGAGCTTCTTGCTAAAGTTTCTGAGGAAGTAGCATCAGTGAGTTCCCGAGACAGTGATTTTGAATGGTTCAGAGGTAACTTTCTTGTCTTTTTCTCTAAGTCACATTAAATTGTTCCCATCCTAATTATGTCCTAACATAATTGACTTGTTCAACATTAATGTTTCTCTCATATTCACACTTTTCTTTGTCCTTCCCAGTTTGGTGCCTTCGTTTTGATAATTACTTACTTCTTTATGCCCTTTAATTTTATCTTCATATATACCTGGCTTATTATAATGTATTTATATAGATTTAGCCCAAGGTGATGGCCACCATTTCTGTTCATTTCAGTTATGAACCAAACTAATACTGGATCCCAGTATTATATGGTTATTATATACTTTTCTTGTTTTGTTCAAAATTTAATGAGGTTCTGTGTAGTCATTTAGGTCAACTAATAAATGAATTCCAATTTAATCAGTCGATTTTATTTGTAGTATTTTGCGCTTTAGAAATTGTTAATAATTTTGCATTCACAGGACTAAACACCAAGTTTAAAACAAAAGAAGCTGTCATGCAAAACAGTGCTGAGACTAGGATTCGAAGTTACCTATATCAGACGAAACAAGAACTTCTTCACAACGATCCACCGGAAGGCTCGCCACAAAGACAAGCTATTACGTTCTTCACGCAGCAGTTGTCTAGCTGTAGGTAAGACATTTGGACTTCCAGTGAATTGACTGTCTTCTAGTGAATCAAAATGATTTATTTGTTATTCAATTGTGATTTTTTCTCAGTAGTGAAAATCATTTAGTGACAATGCAATTACTGTACTACAGTTATTCTGTTATATGACATGAATCGACAAAATTTAATAGTATTCCACATTTTACCTTGGCATTCATCATTTTCTTATTTTAGCCCTGCTTATCAGTGTGTACTACAATGTTTATACATATGTTAATCAGGAGTACACGTTTGTTTTCATATAGACCTAAATAAATAAAAAGTACTTCATTCACATTTCGTTGGGGAACTGCTTATTGTACTGTTTTAAAATTCACATAATCACATACATATAACCCCCTTTGTCCAAATAGAAATAGTTGAAGTATTTTCACCATTTTTTTCATTTTGTGATCATGGTAAATTATAGCATGACCATGTACATACTTATTTAATAAATGCCAGCTATCCATTGTAATTTCTTTGCAGTGTGCTCCTATTTTTATCCTTGTTAACTTGAAAACATTTTACCAAATTCCATTTTTGTACCTTGTTTTTCACGAGTAATATTTCCCAAATATGACATCTCATTAGGAGTACTGGACACCTTGTCTTATGTGGTGGGGTGCTGTTGTTGATGACTGCTTAAGAGTAGTAGTACATTGTTTACCCTTGATATTATAGATTGTTAATTATATAATATGGGCGAGGGATATTGTTAATTTTTAATGTGTTTAACCAATTTTCACTGTGTTACATTGTTCATCATTTTATGCTGAGGTAATGCTTCCAACCCCATTCAAGTTGGAAATGGGGTAAAGATAATGAAATAAATAACATTTCTCCCAAAACTTCACTCTGCAGTTTTGTTGTCTGGCTCTCGCTCATTTAATTCCTAATAATAGCACTGATTGTCATTTCAGTCCTCTGCTAGCTTCCTTTCACTGCCATCTGAAAGTGCCATTGCAGGTTTATTTTTTTAATTCTGTTACAAAATTAGTGAGACATTTTTTGTTTATTATTTCATTTTGTCAGTTTGATGTACTGAAATAGTATTATTTGCCAGTACTGTACTGAATTTCCCCATTGAATGGTTCCCATTGTTGAGGACAGGAAGCCTGATATGTATTCCCAGGTACCTATTTACTTCTAGGTGAACAGATACGTCAGGCGTTATGAAACATGCCCAAACTCTGGTTTGGTCTAGGAAATCAAACCTTGGACAGTTTTGTTGGTCAGGTTTTAAAATTGAATCATAAATTTCACTACACATTGCTTATAATATCAGTGCTCTACTGTTATTCTTTATCTTTGACTTATGGAGAGTCCCTCAGTCTTCTTTGGCTTTTACCAAGTGAGAGTTTCAACTGTTTATGTTAGTGCAATGCCCAAAATATTTTGTATGGTAATTAAATATAGTACGCATTTTACATAACTATTCAACCACTGTACCGTGTCCTTCTGTATATTTTTTTTAAATATAATTGTATTTTTTAAGGCTAATAATAGAAGTAGGTACCACCTCTTGCTGGAAGGGAAGAGGGGGGCTATAGGCTTGGAGAAAAGCACGCATCAAGCATTAGAGGAGATTATTGGGTCCCTTCCCTCACAAATGCAGTTCCATGTTCTTTTGTCCTACCACTCCCCTTCTATTTATGTTTTTCTTTGTTTTGCTTGATAATTAAAGGTTACAAGTTACACATTGGTAAAATATTTTAGCATTTTACTTGCACTTGTACTATTTAATCAATATATCATGTGTTTTTACAAACATAATACTTCTTACACAGGTATAATAGAAAATATTTTGACCGCACAGCTGCACCCAGTGAACGTCTGTGTGATTCCCATGGCCTCTTCGAGTGTGAGGGACCGTACGATAAGAACAAGTGTGATAGCATTCATTTTATCAACCCATACACATCAAGAGAGGCAAGAATCATATTTTCTACATGGAATCTTGATCATGTGTAAGTTGAAGTTGAAAAAAATTGCATGTTGTAACTTTCAAGAAATAATTATATATATCTGTATATTAAGGGATATGAAATGTATATCTTGAGTGCAATTTTGAGCTGCACTCAATGAATTTTGCTTGCAGGGTTGAACATTATTTATAGTACAGCATCGTCCATGGGTGTGCATCGTTATATAGGGTTCATGTATTTTTCTGTTATTGCCGACTTAATTCCTTTGCTCTCAATTGTCATGCTTTTAAAACTGTATGTGCGCCTGAATTTGATGAAAAACTGTACCCAAATGGATCCATGAGTGTCCTCGGGGGTTGATCAGTCATGGAGCTTAGTTAATAAGCACCATGACTGACCAATCATGACCAATCCAAGTAAAAGGCCATAAATGTCCGATCCACATACAGAGATTAATCGGGTGTATTGGGTGTAGCATGTTGAGCAGTGTCTTCTATATTGGCATTTTCGCGTTCCGGTCTTGTTCCTACTCTCATGGTATACTTGTGTACTTGCTTACTTGTTCTTACTCTCATAATGTAAGTAAGAACAAGTAAGTAATGATTGTAATCATGATAACCAAACCACACAACAAAAGATGAAGAGACAACGACGTTTCAGTCCGTCCTGGACCATTGTCAAGTCGATTGTAATAATAGTTGTGATAGTCGATTGACAATTGACTTGATAATGGTTCAGGACGGAGTGAATTGTCGTCTCTTCATCTTCTGTTTGTGGTTTGGTTATCATATCTTCAGCCACATTATTGTGACTCATCGATTGTAATCATCTTTTCTAATAATTATCTCATACTTCAAATGTTATCTCATACACCTAAGTTAGGGGTTGTATTTTATATATGCAACTCTACCTTGCCTATGGAGACATTTTGTATGTCTCGCAGGATTCCAACAGAAAGCTCTTTTATGAGCAGTGTACTGTATTTGATAAGCAAACGATAAACCTGGCAAGTACCAGTGTTTACTATCATGCACCTTAGTTTGTTAGTATTATGAGTCAACTTCATTTTGTATCTTGTGGTTATTCATATTCAGAACACATTTATTTTTAGTTTGATTTTATTTGCAAATAATTTACTTTTCAGAGTTGAAAAATCAAGGACAGTTCTTCCTACATTAAAATCAGCTCTCTCAGGACCAAAGGCATCAGTAGTGAACTTGTCCTACTTTTATAACTTACTGTTCTGCCATAAAAATGGTATTGCCAAAAACTCCAGCGGCAACCTAAAGCTTGTTCATATTGCTTGTCATGTCAAGAAACCTCATGAGCTTCAGTGTGAGCATCGGGAAATTTATTTGTGCAACAAGACGTCAAAATTTTCTGATGCTGTTGATGGAAAACAATCACGGCAGTGTCCAGTACATTCCATGAAAACTCGATTCAAACGGAAAAACTGTAATTTAGACCACATCACAAAGAAGAGACCTCGAGTGACAAGAAGACATAGTGATTTGACACGTGTAAAATGAGGTAAGGCAACTTGACTGAAACTTGCATGATATGGTCACAACGATCAAGATGGGTGTATTATGTCTCATAACATCTTGAAGGTTATTAAAAAAATACGTATGATATTTAATATTTATGGAGGAGAGTCTGGTGGCGCCCTGAGGTGGTGTCCCCCTCCCCCACCCCCATGAGTCATATCAGCCATAGCAACCATAGCATATCAGTGTGCAACCACATAAGACTTGTATAGTCTTATGGAGATCAGAACCTTACCCCCTCTCACAGAGGCAACATTTTTGATAAACAAATAATTAATGTATTGTTATTGAATATTTAATGTATATTACATCATTGACATAAAAATAAAGTGAATTACAGGTATAAGATAATTAATTTCAATGGTTAGGGCTGTTGCAGATCAATAAATTGGTATATTTAATTTCCATTGAAAGATGGGGAGCCCCAAGACCTCCAAAGTTCTGGTGTGTGTCTGTCGGGGAGCTCCAAGACCTCCAAGATGGTGGAGTGTCCATTGGGAGCCCAAGACCTCCAAGGTTCTGGAGTGTTCATGCGGGCCCATATGAGGCAGCAGCTATTGGCCCATATGAGGCAGCAGCTATTGGCCCATAGGAGGCGGCTCCTATTTATAGCCACCCGTGCACACTCGTATATATGTCTAGCCTATGCCTGAAACAATTCGGCGATCTCACATCGTATTATACTACCTGGTAAGCTGTTTCGAATAGTAACAGCCATGGTAAAACGGGCGTTTAGGAATAAGTCAAGATTGGTTCTTGGTTCGTCAAGAGCTTTTCATAATCTTGGGTCTCAACAAGAGCTAATCCTTGATAATGAGGTGGTTATCTTGAGATGATTTCGGGGCTTTTTTGGTGTCCCCGCGGCCCGGTCTTCGACCAGGCCTCCACCCCCAGAAAGCAGCCCATGACAGCTGACTAACACCCAGGTACCTATTTTACTGCTAGGTAACAGGGGCATAGGGTGAAAGAAACTCTGCCCATTGTTTCTTGCCGGCACCTGGGATCAAACCCAGGACCACAGGAACACAAGTCCAGCGTGCTGTCCGCTCGGCCGACCGGCTTCCATAGGTGGAGCGGAGTCTTCGTGGTGAAGTGTGGGGTCAGTTTTTCATTTGTGTATATCACATGTTTCATTATTCTTTTCTGCTGCCTTATTCGAACGTGACACTTGTTACCATGTATGATCCTACTCTCGACTCTGGTAGAACCTTATTGTTCTGGGAGAAATATTTTGTCTTTAAAAGTCTCAGTTAATGAGCTTTTGTTTTCTTTTATATACAGTATAATAACTTTTTTCTTTAAAAATTTAATATTTGCCTTTTATTTTTTTATATAGAGATCATCTTCTTTAATGTAAAGACTTGGGCTTTTGAGAAGATCTTTTTCTTTCACTGTAGAGTCTTGAAGAAACTTTCATTCATTACTGTATCTTTACAGAGATTTTTCTTTATCCTAGTGTCTTGTAGAGAACTTCTTTCATCATATGTCTTGACACTTTCTTCCTTCATCTTGGTGTCTTGAAGAGATCTTTCTTAATCATAGTATCTTGGAGAGACCTTCTTTCATCTGAAGATGAACACCATTAATGAAGGATAGTAACTTTACTTTTGGTTGCAGATGGGACGAGTCTAGGGCTGTGTGTGGCTTTTCTGCCTGAGGCCCTGGCGAGCCACATTGCCTAGATGGAGGCTGATGTGTGAACACTAGCAGCTGTATGATGGCGTTCCTGACTGTCCCACCTCAAAGGACGAGGACATTACCTTCTGTGCCGCCTTCCCATCTACGAAGGATATGCACATCACCAAAGAAAATAAACCAGAAATGGAGTGTGAGGGAGGTGCCTCGACCAAGGCAGTCTGCACAGACAAGGAGTTGCAGTATAATAGGGGGAAATGCATCCGTTGGTTGTATGTTTGTAATTGCATTGATGACTGTGAGTCTGAAGATGAGATACCTTATGCATGCGCCATGGCCTCCTCTGGTGTTGAAAAGAACGACATTCATATACGCACTCCTGAAGAGAACACAGATGATGGCTTGGTAGATATGCATGTTGAGGAGGACGACGTTTTAAATGAAGTTGAAGGTTTGGAATCTTCTTGTGTGGATAGGAGGCTGCAATGTGAGGAATTACATAAGTGTGATGAGGATCCTCCTGGAGACTGCAACAGGGACTCAAACAGCAGTACAGATCTCGGCAATGCAATGGTAAATGGCACTAACAGCAGTATTACCATAGCTGTCCCACCGACAGTGGACAAAGACAGGGTCTGTGCTTGATGACCAGCTCCAGGAGATTGATTCCTGCAGCTCACTTAAGAATTAAATTGAAGATCATAAAATGTCTACATCATACTATTCAGCAAGAACAGAAAACATTATTCTGGAAGTCTTGGATGAAGACTATACCAGTATTTTGGAAGAAAAAGATGTAGTACTTGAAGACCAGAAAGAAGTCAATGCAATTTCTATAATGAAAAGTATTGAGGACAGAGAAAACACAGCACTGGTTGTGGTTGCGTAATCTCCTTATCCAGATGGTGAAGAAGTCAAATCTTCAAATCTCAAGTAGTATGATAACAGTTTGCAACCACATTCTCTAGATGCCAGTTTACTACTCAGTGCCTGGAACTTGACCAATGGGACAGCCATTGATAATACAACATCTGTACTTGATGCACCAGATTATTTCGATATTCAACAGCTCATATCTGATTGCTGAAAGAACTGATAATGATACTAATGAGGACTATAATTCATCAATCTCTGAAGGATATGAGTAGTGAAGAAACTGGAAATTTAACTACTCTGGCACTTGGTATTTCAAAAACCAGTAACTCCAGAGAAGTATCAGACAATGAACCGGTTAATCTGGATGACGAGAGGGTATCCTCCATAGAGTATAACCAACCAAATGATACTGTCAGTGCTTCTTTCAATGATAGTGCTTTTTTCAATGATACTGTCAGTGCTTCTTTCAATGATACTGCCATGATTCTTTCAATGATATTGTCAGTGCTTTTTTCAATGATACTGTCAGTGCTTCTTTCAATGATGCTACAAGTAGTTTAATCAATGATACTGTTAGTACAGCTACAAGTGTATCTAATCAGAATATTCACCGACAACTGAAATTTCAACATCGAGTTATATACCATCAAAAAAACGAGACAACAGTGTCGGAGAGCACAATTCAACAGTACTGGAAGCGATGCTGCCTCGTTTCCGATTTTGAGATCATCTGTTTAGCTCAATTATTTTTTTTATCTGTATATAGAAGAGTTTTTATAAATTCAACAGACACTCGACAACCATTATGCTCTCGAGTGCTAGACAGTTACCACACACACTTAAACTAAATACTGCTTTATTTCAGTTATAACTAAACGTTGGTTTATTGTAGTCACAATCTTATTTAATAAGGATTATCTTTATAGCAAGTGAAATAATGTTGTCACTAAGTCCTTTAAGCAAAATAATGAATATTTCTAAATACAAATTTAATACACTGTTATTCTTTAATTATCCTTTTATACTGTATATACTTATATTATAGGGAGAACAGGTAATACCCGGGTGTGTGTGTGTGTGTGTGTGTCTCTCTCTCTCTCTCTCTCTCTCTCTCTCTCTCTCTCTCTCTCTCTGTCTCTCTCTGTCTCTCTCTCTCTCTCTCTCTCTCTCTCTCTCTCTGTCTCTCTCTCTGTCTCTCTCTCTCTGTCTCTCTCTGTCTCTCTCTCTCTCTCTCTCTCTCTCTCTCTCTCTCTCTCTCTCTCTCTCTCTCTCTCTCTCTCTCTCTCTCTCTCTCTCTCTCTCCCCCTCCCTCCCTCCCTCTCTCCCCCCCCCCACCCACCCCTGCCACAATATCACTAAGAACAGAAATTTAATAATTTTTTAATTTCAATTAAAACTAACAAAAAATTTATCAAGTCTAATCTAAGTCAGTAATTCATGTTCTTTGTAAAATATAATAATACTCTAATAAACCAGTCTGAAAAGTAATAAACCAGTCTGAAAAGTAATAAACCAGTCTGAAAAGTAATAAACCAGTCTGAAAAGTAATAAACCAGTCTGAAAAGTAATAAACCAGTCTGAAAAGTAATAAACCAGTCTGAAAAGTAATAAACCAGTCTGAAAAGAAATTCAGTATTTGAAACTGGCGAAAATCACTGCCTGTTAGGCAGATTGAGCTTTGCATACTAGGCTAACTATTGCATTCTAACTACAGGTATTAGATACGACAAATACTGTACTATATAAAACGTGTGAATTAATATGCTCAATAAACAAAAAACAATGAAATTATTGAAGATAGGAAATTATACAAGCAATAATTTTGACTTTATACTAATAGTGATAAAATTAAATAATATAAACAGTTAATAAACCTAGCTAATCAGTGAAGACATTATATTATAAGGGAGAGCACATATTATTGTACAGAGTTATTAAATACACTAATACATATAATCCCTTTCATACAATGAGGGTCATGGGGTGGACCCCAAAAGCAATTTGACTGCCTACACCACCCACTAGTCACCATGCAAAGCTCAGTTTCTAGTTTCTAACTCTTTCCACTACCGCCCACAAGATGGGTATGGGGTGCATAATAAATGAACTAAACAAACTAACTTCTTGCCTTCAACCTTACACAAACAGACATCCTCATTTCATAGATATAGAAGATAGGCAGTTAATAAATCAATTAACAAAATCCGGACCAAAAGATGACAGGAAACATGGCGACTCAGGACGTGACGGCTCCACACACAGTTCAGCTGCCAAGAAAGAATTGTAGCCCGGGCGAAATCGTAATTTTTCTCAAAACTCAAAATCAAAACCAGCCATAGAATCGCTTTGAAAATGGTACCATTAGATTTACCACATTAATTTACATTTTTTTCTGTAAAGCCTTTCTTTGCTAATTTTAAATATGAAGGTCTTTACAGTCATATTTACCAAGATACAGCCGTCTCAAATATCAGACAAATCATCATGTTTTCTCAACATATTATTAGGGAAAATGAGTTCAAAAACATCTAATAATAATTATATTGATCACAATTAAAAATGGGTAGTAAAAATTGTCAATTCTATATTGTTTATTTACATAGAGATATATTATTACGAATGGTTCTTAAATGAGAGTATGTATGGTACTTATGTGGGCATATGTATGATACGTATGGGCATATCTATGGTACTTTTATGGGCATATGTATGGTACAAATATGGGCATATGTATGGTACTAATATGGGCATATGAATGGTACATATATGGGCAAATGTATGGTATTTTAAGGGCATATACGTGGAACGTATATGGGCATAAGTATGATACCTGTATGGGTAAATACATGGTACTTTTATTGGCATATTTGTGGTACTTTTATCGGCATATGTATGGTACGTTTATGGGCATATTTATGGTACTGATATGGGCATGTATATGGTAGTTATATGGGCATGTGTATGGTACTTATATGAGCATGTATATGGTACTTATATGGGCATGTGTATGGTAATTATATTGACATGTGTACATCCAGGGAAGTAAGCGTTAATTACTAATTGCTTAATTGTGCCTTCAAGGTATAGACAATTGCATAATTTCCCTCAAACTTTACTTTGAGGGGAATAATTCTTTGCCTCAAACAGCTTAGGGAAAGTAATTAATCAATTACCAATTCACTGAAAACAAAAACAGAACATATAATGAAAGTAAACTTAGCGCTTCTTGGTGACGGGTCACACAATCAGACTGTGGACAAGAAAAAATCGACGCCTTGGCGAAATCGTCATTTTTCTCAAAACTCAAAATCAAAACCAGCCATAGAATCGCTTTGAAAATGGTACCATTAGATTTACCACATCAATTTACATTTCTTTCTGTAAAGTCTTTCTTTGCTAATTTTAAATATGAAGGCCTTTACAGCCATATTTACCAAGATACAGCCATCTCAAGTATCAGACAAATCATCATGTTTTCTCAACAAATTATTAAGCAAAATAAGTTCAAAAACATCTAATAATAATTATACTGATCTTATTAAAATATGGGTAATAAAAATTGTCTTTTCTATATTCTTGATTTATTTAGATATAGATTATTACGAATGACACTTAAATGAGCATATGTATGGTACTGATGTGGCTATATGTATGATACTTATATGGGCATATATGTACTCCTATGGGCAAATGTATGGTACTTGTATGGGCATATATATGGTACGTGAATGGGCATATAAGTACCATACACATGCCTTATAAGTACCATAAACATGCCCATATAACTACCAAACTCATGCCCATATCAGTACCATAAATATGCCCATAAACGTACCATACATATGCCGATAATAGTACCACAAATATGCCAATAAAAATACCATGTATTTACCCATACAGGTATCATACTTATGCCTATATACGTACCACATATTTGCCCTTAAAATACCATACATTTGCCCATATATGTACCATACATATGCCCATATTTGTACCATACATATGCCTATAAAAGTACCATAGATATGCCAATACGTATCATACATATGCCCACATAAGTACCATACATACTCTCATTTAAGAACCATTCGTAATAATATATCTCTATGTAAATAAACAATATAGAATTGACAATTTTCATTACCCATTTTAATTGTGATCAATATAATTATTACTAGATGTTTTTGAACTCATTTTGCTTAATAATATGTTGAGAAAACATGATGATTTGTCTGATATTTGAGATGGCTGTATCTTGGTAAATATGGCTGTAAAGGCCTTCATATTTAAAATTAGCAAAGAAAGACTTTATAGAAAGAAATGTAAATTGATGTGGTAAATCTAATGGTACCATTTTCAAAGCGATTCTATGGCTGGTTTTGATTTTGAGTTTTGAGAAAAATGACGATTTCGCCAAGGCGTCGATTTTTTCTTGTCCACAGTCTGATTGTGTGACCCGTCACCAAGAAGCGCTAAGTTTACTTTCATTATATGTTCTGTTTTGTTTTTAGTGAATTGGCAATTGATTAATTACTTTCCTTAAGCTGTTTGAGGCAAAGAATTATTCCCCTCAAAGAAAAGTTTGAGGGAAATTATGCAATTGTCTATACCTTGAAGGCACAAGCAATTAGTAATTAACTCTTACTTCCCTGGATGTACACATGTCAATATTAGTACCATACACATGCCCATATAAGTACCATACACATGCCCATATAAGTATCATACACATGCCCATATAAGTACCATACATATGCCGATAAAAGTACCACAAATATGCCAATAAAAGTATCATGTATTTACCCATACAGGTATCATACTTATGCCCATATGCGTACCAAATATATGCCCTTAAAATATCATACATTTGCCCAATATATGTACCATACATATGCCCATATTTGTACCATACACATGCCCATATTTGTACCATACATGTGCCCAGAAAAGTACCATACATATTTCTATGGTAATTTTATAGTACCATAGATACTTTCCCTTCAGACAGCTTAGGGAAAGTAATTAATCAATTACCAATTCACTAAAAACAAAAACAGAACATATAATGAAAGTAAACTTAGCGCTTCTTGGTGACGGGTCACACAATCAGACTGTGGACAAGAAAAAATCGACGCCTTGGCGAAATCGTCATTTTTCTCAAAACTCAAAATCAAAACCAGCCATAGAATCGCTTTGAAAATGGTACCATTAGATTTACCACATCAATTTACATTTCTTTCTGTAAAGTCTTTCTTTGCTAATTTTAAATATGAAGGCCTTTACAGCCATATTTACCAAGATACAGCCATCTCAAGTATCAGACAAATCATCATGTTTTCTCAACAAATTATTAAGCAAAATAAGTTCAAAAACATCTAATAATAATTATACTGATCTTATTAAAATATGGGTAATAAAAATTGTCTTTTCTATATTCTTGATTTATTTAGATATAGATTATTACGAATGACACTTAAATGAGCATATGTATGGTACTGATGTGGCTATATGTATGATACTTATATGGGCATATATGTACTCCTATGGGCAAATGTATGGTACTTGTATGGGCATATATATGGTACGTGAATGGGCATATAAGTACCATACACATGCCTTATAAGTACCATAAACATGCCCATATAACTACCAAACTCATGCCCATATCAGTACCATAAATATGCCCATAAACGTACCATACATATGCCGATAATAGTACCACAAATATGCCAATAAAAATACCATGTATTTACCCATACAGGTATCATACTTATGCCTATATACGTACCACATATTTGCCCTTAAAATACCATACATTTGCCCATATATGTACCATACATATGCCCATATTTGTACCATACATATGCCTATAAAAGTACCATAGATATGCCAATACGTATCATACATATGCCCACATAAGTACCATACATACTCTCATTTAAGAACCATTCGTAATAATATATCTCTATGTAAATAAACAATATAGAATTGACAATTT